TGAATTGTAACCGACGAAACTCTCCTGATTTGTGTTCTAGTGGCAAGACCCGAATGAAACCCGAAGCTTTTTTTCCTTTGACCCGACCCGAACCAATATTTTTTACATTGACCCGAACCCGACCCGAGACAATCGGATCCGACCCGACCCGCGGGTCCACCCGACCCGTTTCGGTCTCTGTTATCGAATCTACTTTGATTACTTACCATCATTTCGTTTGGCAGTTGTATTGAAATTTCCGTCTTGGTTCGAAAATAAGACATTAGAATCTTGTCAACGTGGTAGTTGCAATGAGAATGCGAGTTGTTTGCCTATTTTCAATCAAAATCAAAGTCACTATTGTTCATGTAAAAGTGGATATTATGGAAAAGAATGTAACATTTATGAATCTCGCTGTGAGACGTACTGTTCAAATGATGCATTCTGCCGACCGGATTATGATTTTGTTCGATCGAATAATACAAAAATTGATTGTATTTGTCCATTGGATCATTTCGGGCCACGTTGTCATTTAAAATATGATGATTGCAAATCGAATCCATGTTTGAATAATGGGACTTGTCTTCTTACTCATGATCGAAGTGGCGAAACATCATATATATGTACTTGTTCGGAGCGATTCTACGGAGAACGATGTGACATTGAGAAAGAAACGGTTCGTATTGGTTTAAATATGTCAAGAATATCATCGGCTAGGGCTACAATTGTTCAATTGTACGATGTTGAGATCTCCTCATTGACACTTCTCATTCAACATCAACAAGTCCATCATGGCTTACCATCGACAATTAATTACTTTCATCTTGGTTCTTATGTGCCCTATATTGGCCTTTTGAAAACTTACAACGATATCAAAGACCTGAAATATTTTCTCATATATGCTTTTCGCGAATCAATAAACAATATCACTTCATCTCTACTATCTTGTCCACACGTTTCGATGCTGTTATCTAAAGGTAAGATGTTCGAAAAAGAAAAAGAAAAAAGAATACTTACTTCTCTCTCTTTTAGATCAGTATGTTCCTGATGTTTTTCGATATCATGCTATCTGTGAAAATAATACGGAGAGCTTTTGTTTCTATGATCAAGATTATCTTTGTTTGTGTGACACGGGAAATTATCGTGCCGAATGTTTTATTCACAATACGGAACTTGAACATTGTGACAAGTGTCTTGCTGAAGGAACATGTCTTCAGGGAGATTTGAAAGATCCGAACGATTTCATTTGTATTTGTCGTCGATGTCATGACGGCGGTCATTGTGAGTTCAATCTTGAACCATTCGGTTCCGATCTTGATTCACTTGTTATTAATGACTCAAGACAAGTCAAGTCAAATGTCTATGGAATTCTTGCTTTGTTCGTTTTCATCATAGGCCTATTCAATAATCTGTGTTCTTTTGTTACATTCAAACGACCTGGATCACGAAAGTTTGGAGTTGGTAACTACCTACTCATTGTTACTTGTTTCAATCAGATTAGTCTACTCTGTCTGCTATTAAACTTCGTTCAAATCAATTTTAAGATATCCAATGTAGGAGTATGTAAGACAGTTTCTTATTTTCTCTCTGTATCGACACGATTGAGTTATTGGTTGACAAGCTGGATCACAATTGATCGTCTTCTGATTGTTTTATTTCCAACATCAATTTCTCTCAAGAATCCTCGTCGAGCTATTGGAATCATTATTGTCACATCGATTGTTCTTCTTAGCCTACACCTACATGAGATAATCTATTATACAGTCATTGAAAATGTGTCCACCAAATCACCTATTTGCGTAAAAAACTTGAACAGCGCTGTGATCCGAGGCTATGATAGCATTTCTACTATTATTCATTATCTGTTTCCGTTCTTCATACAAGCCATTTGCATCACTCTTTTGATTGTTTTGGCTGCTCGTAGTGGACTCAAGACGGTCAGAGAGAAAATGAGTTTTGGTCAAGTATTGAAGAAACAATTTCAAAGTCAGAAAGAGCTCTATATGACACCCATGATAATTATTCTGTCTGCACTGCCTCACACTATTTTCACATCGAGTTTGGCTTGTACACAATTGATCGATTGGCAACGTCACACATTGCTTGGTGTCTATTTATTATCGCATGTTCTACAAGTGCTCGGCTTCATTTTTCACGTGTTGCCATCGACTAGCTACACGAAAGAATTTCGTGAAGTTCCACTTAGCAAGATATTTTTCAAATGAATTTTAGAATGCAGTCGTCATTCTCGAAGACGAAAACATAAACATCCATGTCCTTACGCTTTTTTTGTTGCTTTGGTCTGTGTGTGTTTGGCATTCATCTTACAATATTCACATTGTTGTCGTTTGTCGCTGGAACGTATTTTTGTTTAAACAGCTGCTATATCGATTCATCTTTTTCGCGAATTAAAACAACGAACCGAGAACATAAACTGGAGAAAAATGTCTTCATATGCTGCTCTTGCAAAGAAAACTCTCATGATGGTATTTCATTTGCATTCTCGAAATATGGTTGATACTCACATTGTCCCAATGACAATGATATGTTTGATGATCGTAGCATTATGGACGAATGTTTTTCTCTGAGTAATTTCTAGTTTATTCAACAGAAAGCGAAATGGCACACGGCATTTCTGATCAGGAAAATAAGAAGAAACATTTTGATTCTACCCATAATTTGAATGATAAATTGGATCAAAGAGAGTCAGCATTTTATTGTATTGATATTTACCGGTATTTTTGTGTGCGCGTGGCATCTTTTGATTCAATTGCTATCGATTGTTTAGGAGCTGGTATATTCACGTCAACTGACATTCCTGATTTTCGCAGTGGAATGGATACTATCTTAGAGACCGGGAACTGTAAAAAAATTCACAATATTCATAGAGAATATTGGAATAAAAACCGAGGGCTCAGAAGAATTCTAAATAACCCAGTGTAAATAACAAACTCTACCACATCTATATATGCGTCTCACATAATATGATGATGTTACAGTATCGATCATTTTCTTGCACCATCTTACTCTGTCTTTAGCTTTTTCTGTAGACAAATTTTAGTTATTAACATTACTAGTATTCAAGGGCAACAATAAAAATATGAAGTTTAGTGCAATTGCGGCTGAAACACCCTTAACTTTGTTTAACATGATTAAGAGTTTATTAATAAAATGGTATATGATACAGAGAAACTTGGTAACGGCTTCCACATGAAAGACAAAACTCCCACTGTCCTACAATCTGGTCTTGTCTATAAAGCTACTTGCCCTCTTTGTGGCGAATTTTATGTTGGGAAAACGTATAGACATTTTTGTACAAGAATGGATGAACATCTGAGGGATCAACAGAAAGTTATTGAAAATTCACAACCAGTGGCAGTGTCATCATCAAGTTCTGCTACTTCGACTAACGGTGTAGGTTTGAAAAGCAGTTTGAGCGGTAAAATTACAAAGCGTAACGCTAAAACATCTACAGATAGTAGTAGTGTATCAATACAGATAGGCGATCGACGTCCAGGTACTCGCTCTCAATCGGGTAGCCTGCCGCTAACCACTGGACAGTTCGATCTAACTGAAGTTGAAAAAACGTGCAATACTTTATGTAATCTGAAAGAGAAATCCGTATGTACAGCAAAATCAGCGATAAGCAAGCATTATTTAACTACAGGTCACGTGTTCACAAGTAATGACTTTGAAATAGTGCTACGTGAGAAACATCGTTATAAGCTATTAGTGAAAGAATCGTTAGTCATTAGGACAATCTCTCCGGTTCTTAACGGCACAGATCGTTCCGTACCATTATATGTGTACTCCAATGGCATTCAATCGGTTCTATGGGCTAGAAAAAACATTGCGCGCAAAGGCTCAGGTCTTGATTCTTTAAACAACGAGAAATAAAATCACGCCATATATGTTCGAAATTCTAGAAAATACACAAAGAAATAGAGCGAAAAGTACAACAACAAAATAGAGAATTGAGAAATAAAAAAGAAAAATGAAAAAGATAGATCTCTCTCTCTCTATATATATATATACTTGTGCATGTTTTGGTCTTGTATTTTACTTTATTGTAACAGTCTGTACGACATACTCACTTGATAATGACCGTATAAATAGGTCGAAAATTCGTGTTTTAATAAATATTTTTATTAATAAACTCTTAATCATGTTAAACAAAGTTAAGGGTGTTTCAGCCGCAATTGCACTAAACTTCAAATTTTAGTTATTACCAAATGATATCTTTGTCCTTTCTCCCTTTTCGCTAACGTCTAGTTAGGGGAGTTCAAAATCTGATTATAGTAATAAAAGATGCAAACATTTTTGGTGAATGTAGTGGCGAAGAAAACAAACTATATAAATGATAATCACCTATCGGTAAGGAAATATATACGATAGACGACAGAAAATAACAAACCTATAATAACGCGTCACTTTCAGAATAGAACGGAAAAAACTATCGAAACACTTTCATCTCATCTCTAAATAAGAGTCAGTAGAGTGACGTATATATGTAGAGGCATGAAAACACTATTTCAAGTGCTGTATTACGGTATCCGTATTCTCTTTTTGTGTGTGTTCTCCGTTTAATTGAGGGATCTGAGGATTTTGAGGGTTTTGCTGTATTACGGTAAGTACCTCTGAAGGTATTGTCTCATGGTGACTTAAGGGCCCACCCCCCTCAGAAATGACGATTCTCGGATTTTGAGGTAAGCACATACAAAGATAGCCTGAAGTGTCTACTTTCAGAATACATATGATTTGATACCATATTAATGGCTTTTGAGAGGGCTTTCAGAGGTTTTCTGGAGACCCCCTGTGCAAAAACTTACTATTTTATTTCGAACTGACGCACTCATGCTATGAAAGTGATTTTTGTACAAAACGAATACCTAATAATGCTGACTACAATGCATGAGTGAACAAGCTTAGAGAGTCCTCAGAAGAGTTTCCTGAAACAGGTTTTCTAGGAGATCTTTGAAAAACCAGGTCGTGTGTAAAAACTTCGAATAGGATTGTATTGCTTTTTCTCATGAACTGATAGCCCGAGATGTCCTCTTGAAGACGAGAATCAAACGACACCTTGATTTTCCGCGGCTTGGGCGCTGTATCGGATTTCCTACCAGTCCCATGACTGGCACCTGGTGACTATTGGTAACCTTGACAACGTATGAACTATGGGTAATCAATCGTGCTGAGTTTCGTGGCAATATTTGCTTTTAGAAAAAGTTCTTAGAAACTAGCGAAAAAGGAGTTTTACGAAAATTGGGGTGTTCAGGTTCTTTTCACTTAATATTTAAAAATTCACTGTTCGCTCAAAATACATCAGAACGGGTTCTAAACTTCGGAATGTAAAGTATTTAGGCTGTTCTATA